ACAGACAGTAGGGCAGTAAAGCTTGGCGGGGCAGGGCAGGAAGGGGGGGAGGAGGGTGGTTATAGGGTGGAGGGGCTCAATGGGAGGGGAAGGGGGACAACTGTAATACTTTCAACAATAAATATAAAATTTTAATATTATGATATTGAATATTATGATTTTATAATGTTACATTAATAACATTTTAAACTTTCTGATACCTTCCAGGCTTTTTTCTTATTATGAAAAAATTTTAAATATAAAAAATGTAATGAGATTAATATCAATTCCCATGCCCTATAGCCCAACTCAATTATCTATATTTTGTCATTTTTTTTGTCTCTTTTCCTGGCCTATCCATTTCCTCTTTTCCTTCTTTTTACCCACTTTTTAATATTGTATAATATTGTATAAATCCCTAACATTGTATAATTTCACAAGTAAATCTTCAAGTATACATCTCTTACTGATAACCTTTTAAATATATTAACAAATATTTGGTAGAATTCACCAGTGAGCAATCTGAGCCTTGAGTATTACTGGAGAGAAGATTTTTTTTAACTACAAATGAAATTTCTTTCAGAGATATAGGGGATTAAGATGATCTACTTTATCTTGAGTAAGCTTTGGTAGTTTGTATCTCTCAAGTAAATTTTCTATTTCAAAGAATTTGTTGAATTTATAGGCATAAAGATGTCCATAATATTCCCTTGTTATACTTTGAGTATCTGTAGAATATGTAAGTTATGTCACTCAGCTGAGTCGTGACACTGGCATTTTGTGTTCTCTATATCTCTCTCTTCCTTAATCACTCTGAATAGAAATTTATCAACTTTATTTTATTAAAAAATAGCTTTTGGTTTTATTAACTTTCTCTGTAATTTTTATTTTCCATAGAATTTATTTCCACTTTGAATTTTATTATTTCTTTTCCTCTGTTTACTTTTAATTTAATTTGTTCTTTTTTTTTCTTTTTTTGTCTCAAGTGTCAAAAGGTAGAAGCTAATGTCATTGATTTGAGACCTTTCATTTTTTCCTTATATAGGCATTCAGGGCTATTACAGTAGTAATAGCACAGGATACATTTCAAGACCCCCAGAGAATGCCTAAAACTGCAGATAGTACCAAACTCCATATATAGGGTGTGTGTGTGTTTTTTCCCTATACATAAATGCCTATGATAAAGTTTATTTTTTAAGTTAGACAAGAGATTAACAACATAATCGAATAATTATTATAATACACTGTAACAAAAGTTGTATGCATGTAGTCTCTTTGTCTCTCAGAATATCCTCTTGTGTTGTACATACATCCCAGGAGGATGGATCAGAATGGCATGAGACTTTATCACACTACTCAGACCTTTAAATTGAAAACATATGAGTTGTTTATCTCTGGAATTTTTCATCCAATAATTTCAGAATGTGGTTGGCTGCAGGTAACGGAATCCGCAGATGGGTGAGGGGAGCACTACTGTCATTTTTCCAAAAGAGCACGTTAGCAGTATTACACTAACTCAAATGCATTGTGTTTTCATTATCCTTCATTTCAAAATACTTTCTAACTTCTCTTTTGATTTTTTTCTTTACTCGTGGGTTATGCAGGGTTGGATGCACACAGGACCCACAGATCTCTGAGGTCCTCTATGTGGTTCTTGCCACCCCGGTACTTCTGGCTTCTCAGTTCTGGCTGCCTTGGTCTCCCTGGACTTTCTTTTCTGTCTCCACTCTGACAGTGAATGGAGTTTCGCCTGGAGGTGCCTCCAGTGCTGTGAGCTGGGACCTCTTTCACTGCATTAGACAGAGGCAATCGCAGGGCTCCCTGTGTTTGTTTCTCATGTCTCAGGCATCATGGACCTTGATAGCCAGTGTCTTGAAGACCATTGTTTCATATATTTTGTCTGGTATGTTGGGGAGCACAATAGACTTAGCTGGAAAGTTGTAAAAAGGACATTCTGGTAAAAGGGAAGCATGTGGAAGGCCACCTGCCCTGTTTATAGGAATTCCCACTTAGGGGAGAGTCAAAGGCAGCACCCCAAATTGCTCCTTAACTTTTCCACACAAGCCTGTGCGTGTGCAGACCCCGAGTGTTTACTGGCATCCTTACGCTTAATCCCTGGACGCCTTTGCCAAGAGGACAGTGTAAACACGGGTGTCTTCCCAAGATCACTCACCCTTTTGATTGTATCTAAAGATAAAAATCCCAGTAAAGGCTAAGGAGGCAAGCAATAGAGGCGGCTCTGGCCACTAGAGCCAGGGGCCCCTTAGCCCTCTCCTGCACAGTCAAACTGCGTCTGAGTAATCTGTTCATCCATTGTTCAAGCGCTGCTGGTCAGCCCCAGCAGTGTGTTGTTGCTGTTGTGTTTTGTTTGTTTGTTTGTTTGTTTGTTTTGGGGGGGTTGGTGGGGACGTGGTGGGGGGTTGTTTCAGGGAAGAGAGTAAATCTAGTCCTTATTACTCCAGCTTAGCTAAAAGAAGAAATCCATTTTTGTTTTGTTCTTTATATATCACTATGGACTTGTGACTTTTATACATTTTGTTTGTTTTAATCTATTGCAATCATATTCCTTTTTGAGGCTCACAGTATCTCAACTTAGGCCAGTGAGCGCTTTACTACATGTTGGCTTTTGGGTCTTTTTGACATGTTTCTACAAGTCCCTACAGTGGCAAATAACATTTAGGCCCTAGAGGTTAACTATTTATTTGCATTTGGCTAAACTTGTTTTTAAAAAGTAGAAGGAAGAGCAAGATGGAGATATTTTATGTTTATAAATAGGTACATTGCAATAAAAAAATAAAAAACAACAACCATACCTGTGATAGAGGAGATTAAATTCTACCACTAACATCCTCAACCGTTAAATAAAAGACCATAAAAGTTCTCATCACTTCTTCCCAAATATGGGTCCCCATGTTTCCACCATCTAATCCAGTGCAGGCATGTGCTGTAGCTGCTATTTTGTCAGAGAATAATTCTGATCTTTTATGTACCAGTGTACCATACTTTTTGGCTAACCTCAGAATGCTCAGAGAAGCACTCACTGACCCAGTAAGTCTTGCTTTGCTTTCAGTGAGCACACGTTCTGTGATGGAAATTCCCACATACGGTCACTGTGACACCTGTGCACCATCTGCTCATCTAAGGCACTTCTACTCTACACTATCAACAGCAAAGATGTGATTAGAAAAACATTCATCTACTAAGATGTGCAGGCATGGTTACAGGAAATGAATAAAAATTACGGTTACACATGGTTATACTAAGATGATATCATAGAGCAATAACTGAGAATAAGGTGCCCATCCTCTCTCTCCATTGGCTTCAGGTTCTGATCCTCAAAATACAATTAAAGCTGCTCAGTCACTTAAGACACAGGACTATCACAGCCTCTGTTTTAGATATACTAGACTAGAACAGAGATTTGATTTTTTTCTCTCAAAGTTTACTTTGATTTTCCAGCAATTTAGGTATCATAGCACATACGCTAATACATATTAGTAACTAACATTTACTTAGCACTTATTGCAATCTCGATACAGAGGCAAGCACCTCGCATTTATTACTTCAATTAACACCCTGAAAAATTATTTACTTATTTTTTGCTTAGCTAATAAGTGGCAGAACTGAGCTTCAAGCCCAAGCTGGCAACAGAGCTCAGGCTCCTAGCCACTGTGCTTTATTGCTACAGTCCTAGGTAATTTTTAAAAAGTTGCTCTTTTCCTAGAAAGGAAAAAAGAAAACATTATTTACTGCTAAACTGTAAGCTTAAAGAGACCAACCCCAAACTAACATGGGATCTTACCTCTTTTATGTCAGCCTTTTGCTGCTAATACACCTGTTTTCTAACAGTAGTGAACTGAATCTCAGCTTTTAACTGGAAAAGGCAAGACTCATTCATTCTCCTAAGTACTATATAAAACAGTTAAAACCTATGTAGTGACAATTTCATACAATACAAAGGTAAATTTTATAGTAACCAGTTTTTCTCATTACATGTAAGAATTAACTGTTAATTATTTTGGAGCTCTGGGAAGCAGAAGAGATGGCATGAAAGTGCAAGATTACAAAGGCACTAGCATTTCCATCAGTGCTAAAATACGAGATTTCATATATTTGGTGTATGCGAAAGCTATAAGGTTACTTTTCTATATACATCCGCCTCTCTTTCACCTTACAAACTCAGTGACCACATTCCCTTCTTAAAAGCCAAATGTTTAGAGGACCTAATGACATATGAACACTTCAAACTTCAACCAAAACACCTTCTAAATGCAATACATTATTGTTAGCATTTAAATAATTCTTGTCACATATATCAGTTTATTTCATGCATATATACTGAGTGGCCAATTATGATCTCTGAACGTATAATAATCTGGCCACTCAGTGTATGTGTACATATACTAGAGGCCTGGTGCATGAATACATGCATGGGTGGGGTCCGGCCAGCCTGGCCAGGGGGAGGGGACATGGGCGCTTGGCTGGCCTACCTGCTGGTGGAAATTCTGGTTGAGGGGACAATTTACATATTAGCCTCTTATTATATAGGATATACACTGAGTGGCCAGATTATTATGCATTCAGGGATCATAATAATCTGGCCACTCAGTATATTTCACTTATTAGCAATAAAAAAGCAAAAAAGTAAGCTGCTTATTTAAAAAAAATAAAAGAGCCATTTTAGAAAGGATGGGATCCAGGCGTCTTCAAACTACGGCCCACGGGCCACATGCGGCCCGCAGAGGAGTCTGATCCTGCCCGCCAGGTTTTTTGGGCAGTGAGCGCAGCCGAGGTGTTACAGTAGGAATTAGTAGTTCATATAGTCCAGCCCTCCAGCTCTCTGAGGGACCGTGATCTGGCCCCCACTTTAAAAAGTTTGAGGACCCCTGGTTGACGTTGTTGCCTGTTACACTGGTTTTAACTTTATCAAACAATAGCATGCTTTTATAATGACCTATTTCTCATTCAGTGCCTTTATCAATGACATTGGAAGCCCTAAGGGGAAGTAGCAGGGCACCTACCTTAGTTAGGTGAATGACTCCTTTAGAAGTTACTGAGCAGCCCATGAAGCCCACATACTGAAGCTCCGGACAGTGCTCGGCAAAGGCTTTCACGGACTGGTCTGTCACCTGGGGAAGAGATGGGAAGCAGGTTACCCAGGGGCATTCCAATGCATTTCAGATTCCCTCTGCCCAGCCTGCACCATTCCTACTTCCCTCGCCATTAGATCGTTGGAATCAGTTTGCATGCACGCTGAAGCATTTCCTGTGGGCTTTTGAAATACTCCCTCCATCCCACACCTCTTCTACCATACCGTTTTTCCACTTCATAGAAAACATCTCTAAGATGTCGACACCATCTACCTCCACTTCTTCATCTCTCTCTCACTACATATTTTTATTGACATATAATTCACATACTATAAAAATTCAGCTTTTCAAAGGTTACCACTCAGTGGTTTTTAGTATATTCACAAGGTTGTGCAGCCATCACCAATATAAAATTTCAAAACACGTTCATCACTGGAAAAGGAAACCCCATGGCTCTATTGGCCATCACTCCCCTCTTCCACCTGCTGCCCCCCGACTGCCTGGAAACTTTCTGTCTATGGATTTGCCTAGTCTGGGCATTTTTTTAAAATATATTTTTATTGATTCTTTACAGAGAGGAAGAGAGAGGGATAGAGAGTTAGAAACATCAATGAGAGAGAAATATCGATCAGCTGCCTCCTGCACACCCCCCCACTGGGGATGTGCCCACAACAGGGTACATACCCTTGACAGGAATCAAACCTGGGACCCTTCAGTCTGCAGGCTGAGGCTCTATCCACTGAGCCAAACTAGTTTCAGCTGGGCATTTTTTTATAATTAAAACTTTAAGGACACATATGTAAAAAAAATTTTTTTTGATTTTTAAAAATTAAAAAGAAAGATTTTATTCAAAAGAGTGAATAAAATGTTATCACTATAAAAAAAAAAAAACACCCACTTTACAATTGGTTCCTAAAGTGCAACAATGATCTGTTTATAAGGTGTTTTTCTCCCTTCCAGTGTTTCTTCCAAGAAATCTAGTTTTGCTCCTCACTGCTTCAGATTTTTCCCATTTGGATGGTATAATGGTTGATTTTACACATCAACTTGACAATGCCAATAGGTACCCAGATATTTGGCGTTTCTGTAAGAGTATTTCTGGATGAGATTAACATTTGAAGACAGAGTAAAGCAAGAATGCCCTTCCTAATGTGGGTGAGGGTCTCTTATCCAACCCATTTAATGGAACAAAAGACTGAATAAGAAGGAATTTGTTCTCTCTCTCTCTGGCTTTCTCAGACCTGGGACATAGATTTCCTACCCTCAGACTCAAAGTTGTACTGGAACTTACACCATCAGCTCTCCCATGTCTTAAGCCTTTGTTCTCAGACTAGAACTATACTATCCTATACAATACAAGGCTAATATGCAAATTGACCAAAGGGCAGAGCAACCAGTCGCTATGACATGCACTGACCACCAGGGAGCAGATGCTCAAAGCAGGAGCTTCCCCCTGGTGGTCAGTGTGCTCCCACTGGGGGAGCACCAATCAGCCAGAAGCCAGGCTCACAGGCTGGTGAACACAGTAGTGGTAACAGGAGCCTTTCCAGCCTCTGTGGCATCCTCCAACTTTCCTGGACTGCGAGAGGGCACAGGCATGAATTTCATGCACTGGGCCTCTAGCATACTATCAACTTTCATGTGTCTCAGATTACCAACTGCAGATTTGGGACCTTCTTAGCCTCCATAATCACAAACCAATTCCTTACATTAATTTATCTACACACATACACACACAGACTGACAGACACACACACACACACACACACACACACACACACACATCTCATACTGATTCTATTTCTCTGGAGAACGCTGACTAATGCAATACCTATTAGAATCCCAAGAAATTTATTAAAAACTCAGAGCCAAAGGGGTGAAGCCCAAGAATCTGTATTTTTAACAAGCCCCTGAATGACTCTTAGCCATGTGAAAGTTGAGGCCTCAGTGCTGTAAAGAAGTTACACTGACAGCTTTTGGCATTTGTACCAGGCCCTGATATATTTAAACAAAGGGCAGGATGAAATTCCTTTTTGTCTCCCCCCACCTCTAAAAAGTTTCCATGTATAAAATGATCTTATTATGTGCTAACATTTTCTTCACTGTTCCACAAAGTTGTAGCTTATAAAAATCCAAATATTCACTATCATACACTTAATTTCATATTCACTTTCCTCATAGTCAAGCTAAAATCAAGTTGAACACTTCTGTTAGTTTTTCAAAGAGTAGCAACTTACATCTCTTTTGCATTAGCTTTACTACTGGTGACTCATACATTCTGGATATATATTGAAAAGTAAAGGTATGTGAATAGCATTAATTCTAAAACAACACAAGAGCATTTTCCTAAAATAACAAAACCAACAGCATCCATAGTACATCTGATAAAAGATTAATTCCGCCCTTAAAAGTATGCTTTAGCATACTAAATACTAAAGGTGCCACTGATAAATTAAAAATGCACCTTCCTGACTCTCAGCCAAGATATGTCTCCTTTTCATGGACTCCTTCAATAGCCTGCACACTGGCCCTCTTTCTGATACTCTTGACCTCACAAATCTATTCTCCATCCATCAAGCCACAGTAATCTTTCAAGGAGTGTAAATCAGATCATGTCAGTCTGCTCTTAAAAATCTTCCCATGGTACTAATTATCTTAAGGGTGAAATCCAAACTCCTATAATCTAAAGGCCCTACATGATCTGACTTCCCTGTCTCTCCCATCTCATTTCATCTTACAATTTTCTCTCCTTGTTCACCATGTGACGGTCTCCCCATCCATCTCATTCACCACTCTAGCCCCATACCTGGCACAGGGCCTGACAACAACAGGAACTTCCAAAATAAAAATGAACAAGTGGATGAAGTATTGTCTTGTGTGCGAGTGTGTGAGTGTGAGTGGTTTTTGTTTTTTTTTAATAAATTGATTTTTATTGATTTTTAGAGAGATAGGGGAAGAGAGAGGAAGAGAGAGAAAAACATCAATTGCCTGCCTCCTGCACATCCCCTAATGGGGACAGAGGCACACACAGGCATGTGTACTGACCAGGAATCAAATTGGCAACCTCTTAATGCATGGAACAATGCTCAACCAACTGAGCCACACAGGTTAGAGCAGGTGAAGTACAGTCTTGATGCACGTCAATGATTTGTTGGTTCAATACTGAAAATAGATCTTTTTTTTTATTTGACACTCTTATAGATGTCCCCTGTTTCCCCAACTTTTGCCCACCCAGCCTCCACCCATCCTCCTCTGGCCTTCACCACACTGTTGTCTGTCTATGGGTTCTGCATATAAGATCTTTAGCTCTGCCAAGAAAATTTAAATTTTGATCTTACTGGTTCCAAATGGCACAAAGAAGCTAAGAATGAGATAAATGGATTCATGTAGGTAAGAGCATGATTTTGAAAGAAAGCAAAAACAGCATTTTGATTCTGGAGTGAACTGAAAAATTAATGTGAGAAAATTAGTGGAGATACTAACTGATGTCACTCCAATTCTCAGACCAATTCAAGGCCTTCTTTCCACCTCCAAGAAAAAAGAGCAAAGCAACAGAGACCAAGGGCATAGCAAACCTGCTTCCTAGGGGATTTTCCAGGAGGAATACTAGCCTTTGATTACTTTTTTCATGTCTTGCAGTCAGAGTGGTCAGCGGGCCTTTAGGGTGTCCTCACCTTCTGGATGTAAAATAAAGCCAGCATAAAGAAACCTGCTTAAGCTAGGTTCTAACTGAGCTTTGTAACCAAAGAGCAAAAACATTTCCAGGTATTTCATTTCAGTGAGATTCACCAGACTAGAGAAGCCATATGGATTCTAAACTCAGATGGAACCGAGTTCAGTTGTCTAAGTATCCCCTCTGACATGTAGCAGGTGTCAACCACATGAACGGGATAGTGGGTCAGGAAAACAGAAGAGCTGTGACCCCAGCATTGGGTATCCAGTCCACTGAGCCAGCAATGTCTTTAAAAATAAAATTAAATTAAAATGTCACATATATGATGTGTGTATTGAAGGGCTATTTCACTCGGTTGAAAGTCTCTTAACTCCCTTTCATTCAACAAATATTTGGGCACTTACTACATGCATAACACATGTTAAACACTGGTGCAGTGCAAGCATAAAGGCAGTCCCTGACTCCAAGAGCAGAGGCTACAGGTTGGGATGTGACCGGGTCTGGCTCCCACATCCACTAGTAACATTTCTGGGAATATCTGAGACTGATCATTGCATCCCAATTTAGTTCAGTTCGTTTTGCCAAGGCCTTCTGACTAGATCTAAAACCGAGGTTGAAGAGGAACCTGATTATGGAGGGTTGAAAGCCAGGCAGACTGGTTGTGACTTCATATAATGAGTCTTTTTTTATTGGTAATATGAGAACGAGCTTTAAAAATTATCAGGTCCCTTGAGTTCTAACATACTTCAAGCCTTTAACTGCTGAAGCTATTCGCTAAAGGCCCCAAAAGAAGGGTGATGAAGGAAATACTAACTTCAAAGTCCAGCAGGCACACACAGGGCAGCTAAAGAGTGGCCAGGAGGCTATGCCTGCAGCAGGTCACCCAGGAGCACCTCAGTAAGGCCTAGCCACGGGCCACATTCAGTAAGCACCCTCACCAGACAGCTGACAAAGAACATGTGAAGTACTATGATGCTAAAAATACCAAGTAGAAGGAATTTTATTTACCTACCTAGTAGCTACACCATTATTAGAGTTTTAAAAGTGGAACACCATAAAATTTCTCCATTTATTTATGCAACTATTTAAAAGCTAATGTAAGGTGTGGTGTTGTGTTTTTTTTTTCATTTTCACATTCCTTTGCTCTTCTGTATTATATTTTTGACAGGGTATACTATGTACCTTACAATTAATGCACTAAAAAGACTTCACATTTGAAATAGTATTACAAAAACACAAAACAAATGATTACTTGTTATATAAAATAATTAAATATGGAGACAAATACTTGGTATGAATTTGCTTTATGAATCATTTCAGTAATAATGTTATATCTTTAGTAAATTTTTTAAAGAAATCTAAAAGA